ATCACTACCTTAAGTTAAGTGCCAGCTTTGTAAACACCTGCTGTGCAGAGGCACAGGTGTGACAATACAGGACTGCAACACCCTTCAGGGGGAAGCATGAGTGAGATGGTAAATGCACTACTACATGAACCCTTTTCCCGACATGACATACGTCTGATGCTTTTTTCCAGCACTTTCTATCACCCACAAAGGACTAGAGCATCTTGCCCAAAGACACTTTAACATGCAGACTGGAGTAGCTCAGAATTGAACCACAGACCTTCTGATTAACAGACGACAATGACCTCCTGAACCACAGCCGCCCTCACAGAATCTGAGGAGATATAGATTTTAAACACCACAGCTTCAAACACGTGTTGGCCGAGCATGCGTATGGGCTGTGGATGGTGGTACAGATAGCACTGAAGGAACCGTGTAGATTAAAACATGAGCCGTGCGATGAGAGCGAGCTGCCCCTGCGCAGCTCGTATCACTCAAATGCAAATCGAGGAAGAGTTTAATATTCTAGACGGGCTAAACACTGAAGCCCGTACCGTAGCTCTGATCCTCCTGTGTCCACACAAGGAGCCATAATGCTCTCTCTTCAGCTTAGAAGCGATGCATATTAGCTTGAAATATTCACAGCAAAGCTACATTCCTACAGGCAACAGTTTTATGCGTCGTCTCCCTTGATAAACACGATGGCTCTCGGCTCTTAAACAGATTCACTCTCTCTCTACTGTCAGCTTTCATGTGGCCCAGGAGTCCTGGGAACAGGAAAAGTTATTATTGAGAATTTATAATACACATATTCAAGACTTAAAACTGCAAGTCTTAATACAGTGCGGCAGGAGCTTTTGCAGCACCACCATATGCTGCACAGCAGGTTTATTGGTCTCTTTCAACAGGCGGCTGTGGTATAAAGGAGCAGCTGAAACCCCACCTCCAGCTAACTATGGGCAGGTGAGGCCAGCAGCCCTCATGTTGACCGCTGGTGTTGACACAGCTGCTGCTGTTGTCAACTTACACATGTGAACCAGAGAAAGGTTACAACTACACAGCTCCTGTTAGGCTAGCATGAGGATCCCCCGCTGGTTCCTGAGAAGTTAATAGGCAGCAGACAGTTAAAAACTACAGTTTGCACCACTGTCTGTGTCAGTTGTTACAAAGCAGTGCCTCACTGCTTCCACTGGTGCACCAGGACAGCATTTCTCCTGTCTAAAGCCATACTGATCTAATCTATAGGAGAACAGTAATGCAACTCCCAAACATTGACTATCAGACCCCAAGGACCCTGTAGAGCCATTGGTGAGATTTGCTGGTGAGGATGAGAGTAGAAATGTAAGAAGGAGGAAGATGTAATTTATGATTCAACAAAGAAGAGATTGGACAAGGTCAGACATACGGCTGATTCAGAGCTGCCTCCACCTGAACAACCCCTACAACTGTGGATGGAGGGCTTATGCAGGGTTTAGGTGACCCTCCAACCAACCCCGCGCACCAATGTGATCTCTTCGTTTTGCTCTCTACATCCATGAAATACTGATTTATAATGCACTTATCAGCACAAGGCAGGGCAGCTTAGCCAAGGCTGACCAATCGTATAGCTCGTCCTCTCTCCCTCCCCGGGCCTTGATGCTCACCTTTGTACGTTTGACACAACTACCACAGGCAAAACAAAGCAAAGCCCAGTGATTGGTATCCACCTGGATTCTGCTAAGCTGAGGTTGGAGGAGAGGAGGGTGGAGTAATAAAGAAAGGAATGTGACTCTAATGTCCGAGGGGATTATTGCTATACATTTTTCCTTTGCTCTGTAACACCTGGAGGGATTTCTGTATGTCCAACGCTGTTTTTATGCTCTGTGCCTTGCTCTAATCCACTTTGCTGATTCTGGAAAAAGTTCAGTGCTTTTGTTTCGCTCAGACTTATGAAGTGCAGCCACAGCAGCCACGCCATTACATTCAATATTTACACACTAAAGGACCTTGATCTGATTCTTTTGTGTTTTGAAGAAAAGTAGGTGAATACGCTCCCCCATCTGTAGTACTACAGTCGCTTGATCAGACTTTATTCCTTGCTTCTAGCAACAAGATACTTAGATGAAGCTAAATGTTTCTCATTTTGACTCTATGTGCTAGTAAGAAGTAGTGAAATAACTAGAACCAGATCAAGCAGCCATTGTTTCTATCCACACTCTGTACTTAACGTGCATGTTTTGTCAGTTACCTACTACAGAACTACACATTCAAATTTGTGTCAGCCCATGTCTTAAGGGGATTGTTTAAAAAAAAAAGAAAAAATATTGTAACCTTGATGCAATGGTATTAAATTGTATTAAAAAATGCAACTGTGACAAAGCTATCTGGGTCAAAGTCTACGTCCATGGAATGTGACTGAACTGTACTGAAACACAACAGCCAAAGGGAGTGCTTTGTACTGTACGGGCGAACAGAAACACTAACATGACTGGTTTCATCCTAATCCCTGTGATCAAGAGGAAACTGAGCATGAGAATGGTCTCCCAGCACACCAACCCCTTTGCTTGTATATGTCATGTCCCTGCACTAACAACTGTAAATAAAAAAGGAGCAATGAGCATAAGGCTTCAAAGGAAAACCCTGTTGTAAAAAAACAGAGGTGTTTCCCAGAAACGCCAAAAGGTGGACTACAGTGACTCGCTGTAAAAGGCACCAACACATTTTTACGAGCCCACCCCACCAAAAGGGATCCTGACGGACAGGCTCGCTCAGGGATCTGTTAATAATAGGAGCTTAACGCTGCTGCATGTGACCGAGCAGTATTAATAAATGAGAGGAGTGAAGCAATAAGGCCCAGGAGACGGCAGTAACAAGATGTTCCGGTCTGTTTTTTTTTTTTTGCTCCATAACAATGCAGCAACAGGGGAGAAGTTATGCATTCCCGGGAAGCTTGGCACACATTTGCACTCCTTTAAAAATTGAATTTGAGACGTTCTTGCAGTTCTGCCACCCCCTGCCTCCTGACGAGCGTGCCACACAAACGACCCGTTGCACTGTTTTGTGGCACAACGCGTACACAAACGCAAGGCTCTCACTTGATGCGGTCCTTGCATTTATCGTACGGACATGTGATTTGGCTCAGCATAAAGCACGCGTTCGCACATCCAGTCTGCGCTGATCCCCGCATCTGCATAGCCGTTGCAGACGGCGGCGCACCGGCTGATAATGAAACGCACCGGACTCATTATGGAAGCGATAACACATCGCAGGTGTGTCACAGCCCGCCACGATGACAAACGTCTTTTCACACGAGCTAAATGCGTGAACAGATGCGAGGACGTCTTGCGGACTCGCGTTTAGGCCGATGCATTTCATTTTATAGAGAATATCTCATTTTTTTAAAAAGCCGTACTGGTAGCTATTAATTAATACGCCCATTTAGGATGGAAAGGGACATATTGGAGCAGAATCCCCTCTTACCAGAGAGCATGACTGATGCCTTGCGAGGTCTCCATGGTTCTCTGGAGCGAAAGCAGGGGGAGGAAAATCATTCCTGCTTGTTTTTATTGGCAAAATGTGCGGAGATCCACGGAAAAGAGCTGCCCGTTCATGATGGTTCACTATCCCAATTGTAATTCACCAGCAGCCTCGCGACCTCCGCTGCGTCGGAGCTCTGCGCATCTCAACAGACCTGCTTTCTGCACGGCATGAAAACGCTCTCTTTCACACAGCCAGCTGACTCCAACACGACCACAGCGACGATGCCCCTCCCCAGATGGTACATGCCTTCAATGTGCGCCACTCGATCCGCTAATAAGAATGTAACCCAGGTGTTGCACAGTAGCGTGGATTCATGTGCAGCATTCAAGGTAACCCTCTCCAAACCCCCAAGAGACTTTTCCAGATTTAAAAATTGATAAGTTCAACTCGAAAAATTAAAATAGTCGTTTTAGTTTTACTGCTTTCTATGTCAGAGATAAATTGGACCGCACCATACCAAATTATAGCAGCCCAACATGGCTTTTTAATGGGAAGTTTATTGCGTTCTTCCATCCTTAATTCCATAACTTCAGTAGTAATAAACGTCAATGATTTGATTTCTTTTATACAAAGAGATCCAGATTTTCTGGAACTCTGACAGTTATTGGTATTAAACGCTTTCAATATCATTTGAAGTGCTAACTTTTTAATGTTTGGATGAATATTGGACTAATTTCAGGGCTTCAAATGTTGTAAGAAAATTCACTGTAAGTATTAAGAAGTATATCCGATCCAGAAACAGCTTAATACTAATTAAAATAGTTTTTTTCAGCACATCACCAAATAACGGGCGAAAAAAGTGGCTCAAAACCAAAAAGGACCTGTTAAACACCTGTTACCAGCCAAGTGAAGCACACATTTCACTCTCTGAAGACAAAGTTAAGGGTGAGAGATCCACAAACAACAGCTGCGCTAAAGTCCTGGCAACAGATCATAAAGGAGAAACTGAAATTTGTGGTTAAATGGTCAGTTTTGCCTGAGAAAGTTCCTAAGTACAGCACTTGGTTCTTCCTTGATTATCTTCATCAGTACAGGACAACCTGGAGCGTCTTTTTTTGAAAGAGTGAGTTCCCAGAAATCATAGCAAAGCTTTTGACCGCTCATGAAGAACGATCAACAAAACCGACAAAGTGATAACCTCTTGTTAAAGGCACAGCTGAACTCTGAACATCACACTGTTGCTTCTTGTCAAATTTACACGAACTCTCTCTAGAATCTGATTTATATTAACTGATCAAAGTATGTTTAAGGCTTGCTTAGCTTTATAGGCTATATGTTCTCTTTAGGTTATGTGTTCCACTGACTCAACCATAAAATCAATAATTAGCGGACAGCAACCACAAATTGATTTTACTGCATATAAAGTTTAAGTCAATTAATTCTACTCAGTTGATGATTTAGACACATTTGACAAATTGTAAAATAATACAAAATATTATAACATTATCGCCAAACATTACATCCACAAAGACAAAAATGACCAGAAATGAGGAAAACCTGCGTCAGTTCTTCAAATATGTTTTAATTCAAAGACTAAATAATATTTTTTCAAAGAATAACCCACTGTTCCCAAATATTTCAACATATGCACAATTACTTGAGGAAAACATAATTAAAAAAAAAAAAAAAATCACATCAAGAATGTATAAAATTTCACATTGTTAAAACTTACAAGAGGTTTGTAATGGGGGGGTGAATTATTATACACTTATAAAACAAAAACAAAACACATTATATAGCTGAAAATACAATTAAAGGCCAAGTGTTATACTACTCGAGAACAGAGACGGAAGGACACTCGTTAAGTGCTTCATAAAGAGTCATAATCTGTATGACGATTGTTGCTACATCATCAGTTTAACAAGAGCATGTTGTTCCAAAAACAACAAAAACCTCTGAAAACCAAAACTAAACCTTTAAGGAAAGTGTACTCTGCTCTCAGCTAACATGCTGCCAGTCACAACTGTAATCCCGTTGCTGGGTTTTAGTTTAAGATTTGTGAATGTTTAACTACATTCATCTTCAACTGGTTTTTGTGTTTTGAGATCTTAAAGGTGTTTTTAGTGTCAAGTCTAAGTACGGGGTCAGTGAATAAAGTTTTCAGTAGATATATTGTGAAATATTCTCACTCGACATGACATTGGGCTGAAATCGAGAGAAATTACAAGTACCTTTTTTTTTTTAAAGTGTTACTTATGCATACTTTTCATAACCATCCACACTGTCTCTTTATTTGGGGAACATTCAATTACATATTTGACCAGTAATGTCACTGTATGTTCTGGATAATCACTACTATCTCAGATGTCTTGGGTCTTTTTAAAACAGCGGCTTGCTCCTACTTATAGCTTGTGGGTCGTGTCTGAACGTTTGCTTCTGCTCTAATGACTTTAGACTGTCATAGTAATAGGGTGAATACAAATTTAGCGTAATAAGTCCACACTAGGTCAGTTTGTGATGATATATTTCCCACTTTTCAGATATTTCTGTTGCAATATAAACACAAAAACTCACCCTGTGAAAGCAAAAAAGGAGGGTAGGTTAGATTTACAAGAAAAAAGCTGACCTACCCAACAGCTGTTTAAAAAAACAAGTTATGAGATTAAAGTTATTTATTTATGAGAACAAACCTCAGAAGGTAATTGTACTTTTTTTCCTGTCATGGGACAACGTCAATGCATTTTAAAGGTTGTATGAAACTCATCACACCACAAATGCTGCTGCTAGGAGCACATTCTGCCTTCAGCGGAAGAGCTAAACAAACAATCGTCTAATTTGCAATCAGATTAAGACTTTTAAAAAATGCTTGTAATTTCAGCCCAGAATCAACATGTCATTATTATAATCCAGTATGAATGGTCATGAATTTGAAATAATCACATAATTCAATTTAAATAACTATTTCTAACAGAAGGGTACCTTTGGCAGCTCCCTTATTTCCCAAGTGGTCGCCACATCAGATGGATCCACACATCTGATTTGCCACCCGATACCCTTTCTAACTCACATTTATCTGGCCTTAGTATTGTCACTGGAAGCAAATGCAAAAATGGAACACATCAAACAAGTGCTAATGGAGTGCTAGTGACAACAGTGATGACACTAGTGAATATATTATTAAATTAAAAAAGAAAGCAGTTGAGGTGCACACTTGTTTTTACCAAAACAAATCTTCTATTAACTTTGTTGTATGTAGTATGAATGAACCCGGTAGCATGACAACAGTGTTAATGCTGGGAATCAAACCTGTGGGCTAATTCCTAGGAGTACAGTTGTCTGAAAGGGCTACTAAAATGTGGAATAATGGTAAGGACGGTGAGGGATATTCCTCAAGTAAGAGTGTGAATCAACCAACAGCACAGTAACCACACAGAGGGCTGACTTCAGCCTTATCCAACACACTGCCAAAGCCAAGACACGTAACAGTCAAGTAGAAAAGCCCTACACCTACATAATAAAACATCTGAGAAGAAACACGCCTGGATTATAACGTCACAACTCCTGAAATGCCTTTGGTGATTCTTAAAATAAACCATTTACAGTCCAGAGGTAAGTCTGTAAAGTTTTGATATACATCATCACCAAAAATTACAATAAAACGGGACAAAGTGTCACCAGAAAACCAGTGGTCTCCACTCTGCTCACATTTTTCCCCATTTCTGTCTGTGATGATGTTGAAGTCAGTGAAGTGCTCTGCAGTTATTACAAATGCCTACATTCTTCTTCACCAAGAAATCACATGTTGATGACCGTTCCAGTATGATGGGGTCTTTATAATGTAATGGTTCTTTAGGAGGCATCCCCTGGCACACAGAGTACTTCTCCAGACCCAAAAGCAGGTTGACCACCTCAGTCACCGAGGTTAGACGTGCTGGGTAGCAGTCGTACAGCGGGTGGGTGGGGAGCAGCGGTTGCTTTTGGACCGTGACCTGATAGAAGAAGCCCGGGTCGATCAGCACCATGGTGTCAGTCATGCTGGACTGCTTAGAACACTGGATGAGCTGCAGCTGCGGGCCCTCCACCATTATAGCATACCACAATATGGGCAGTACAGAGGAGCGTAAAGAGTCTAGTAGTTTCATGAGGTGGTTTTCTGCATCTGTACCAGTCCCAGCCGAGTTATCAGCCAAGCTGAAGATCTGTGTAATCTGCAGACAACAAACGGATAACAATACATACACATATGATTGTTTTTGGGGGGGATATGGGCAGCCTCAGCAGGACACTTACCATGGGCAACTCATCTTCGTCTTCTTCAACAACTTGCTTTGTAGCTTCTCTGGCACTTTGTGCTCTCTCTGCATCCCATCTGTTTTGCTGCTCCTGTATTGACAAAGTTGGTCTCATGAGAGTGACGCCTTAGTCTTTAACTTAATGCAAAATTATAAATATTAAACTACACCCAGCCCACACCTGCACATCAAATTGAGTCCAACAACGCAGTTTATTATTAATACACTAAAACCGTTTGAGGACAGAAATGAATCCTTTGTGGAAGTCTGCAGCTACAGGAAACCTCTGGTGCTGCTGATGGAGATTATGTAAAGTATCGGGTAGCAGCCTCTGGGGAGCCCACAAAGAAACTTCACACATTGTAGTTCCTCAAGTTGCTATTTGAGGCTGGCTCATAAAACAAGTCAGATCCCACAGAATCTCATGTTAAAACACCCAAATCTTAAAGTCTGGTTAAATAATTAAATAAATAAAACAACAACACCCATTAAACTGTTACTTTGTACTACTTAGCAGCTAGCTGTGTCTGTTGCATACATCCATACAGTCAGTGTTGGGGAGTAACGGAATACATGTACCGCCGTTACGTATTTAAAATACAAAATATGAGTAACTGTATTCCGTTACAGTTACCGTTTAA